TGCGTATACTCATATATATGAATAGTTATTTAGTTAGTTAGTTATGTATGCGTATACTCATATATGAATAGTTATTTAGTTAGTTATGTATGCGTATACTCATATATATGAATAGTTATTTAGTTGGTTAGTTAGTTATGTATGCGTATACTCATATATGAATAGTTATTTAGTTAGTTATGTATGCGTATACTCATATATATGAATAGTTATTTAGTTAGTTGTTATTTATGTATGCGTATACTCATATATGAATAGTTATTTAGTTAGTTATGTATGCGTATACTCATATATATGAATAGTTATTTAGTTAGTTAGTTATTTATGTATGCGTATACTCATATATATGAATAGTTATTTAGTTAGTTAGTTATGTATGCGTATACTCATATATATGAATAGTTATTTAGTTAGTTAGTTATGTATGCGTATACTCATATATATGAATAGTTATTTAGTTAGTTAGTTAGTTATGTATGCGTATACTCATATATGAATAGTTATTTAGTTAGTTATGTATGCGTATACTCATATGTATGAATAGTTATTTAGTTAGTTAGTTAGTTATGTATGCGTATACTCATATATGAATAGTTATTTAGTTAGTTATGTATGCGTATACTCATATGTATGAATAGTTATTTAGTTAGTTAGTTAGTTATGTATGCGTATACTCATATATATGAATAGTTATTTAGTTGGTTAGTTAGTTATGTATGCGTATACTCATACATGAATAGTTATTTAGTTAGTTATGTATGCGTATACTCATATATATGAATAGTTATTTAGTTAGTTAGTTAGTTATGTATGCGTATACTCATATATGAATAGTTATTTAGTTAGTTATGTATGCGTATACTCATATATATGAATAGTTATTTAGTTAGCTAGTTATTTATGTATGCGTATACTCATATATGAATAGTTATTTAGTTAGTTATGTATGCGTATACTCATATATATGAATAGTTATTTAGTTAGTTAGTTAGTTATGTATGCGTATACTCATATATGAATAGTTATTTAGTTAGTTAGTTATGTATGCGTATACTCATATATATGAATAGTTAGTTATTTAGTTAGTTATGTATGCGTATACTCATATATATGAATAGTTATTTAGTTAGTTAGTTATGTATGCGTATACTCATATATATGAATAGTTATTTAGTTAGTTAGTTAGTTATGTATGCGTATACTCATATATATGAATAGTTATTTAGTTAGTTAGTTATGTATGCGTATACTCATATATATGAATAGTTATTTAGTTAGTTAGTTATGTATGCGTATACTCATATATATGAATAGTTATTTAGTTAGTTAGTTAGTTATGTATGCGTATACTCATATATATGAATAGTTAGTTATTTAGTTAGTTATGTATGCGTATACTCATATATATGAATAGTTATTTAGTTAGTTAGTTATGTATGCGTATACTCATATATATGAATAGTATTTAGTAGTTAGTTATGTATGCGTATACATATATATGAATAGTTATTTAGTTAGTTAGTTATGTATGCGTATACTCATATATATGAATAGTTATTTAGTTAGTTAGTTATGTATGCGTATACTCATATATATGAATAGTTATTTAGTTAGTTAGTTAGTTATGTATGCGTATACTCATATATATGAATAGTTATTTAGTTAGTTAGTTAGTTATGTATGCGTATACTCATATATATGAATAGTTATTTAGTTAGTTAGTTATGTATGCGTATACTCATATATATGAATAGTTATTTAGTTAGTTAGTTATGTATGCGTATACTCATATATATGAATAGTTATTTAGTTAGTTAGTTATGTATGCGTATACTCATATATATGAATAGTTATTTAGTTAGTTAGTTATGTATGCGTATACTCATATATATGAATAGTTATTTAGTTAGTTAGTTATGTATGCGTATACTCATATATATGAATAGTTATTTAGTTATTTAGTTAGTTATGTATGCGTATACTCATATATGAATAGTTATTTAGTTAGTTAGTTAGTTATGTATGCGTATACTCATATATATGAATAGTTATTTAGTTAGTTATGTATGTGTATACTCATATATATGAATATTTAGTTAGTTAGTTATGTATGCGTATACTCATATATATGAATAGTTATTTAGTTAGTTAGTTATGTATGCGTATACTCATATATATGAATAGTTATTTAGTTAGTTAGTTATGTATGCGTATACTCATATATATGAATAGTTATTTAGTTAGTTAGTTATGTATGCGTATACTCATATATATGAATAGTTATTTAGTTAGTTAGTTAGTTATTTATGCGTATACTCATATATATGAATAGTTATTTAGTTAGTTAGTTATGTATGCGTATACTCATATATATGAATAGTTATTTAGTTAGTTAGTTATGTATGCGTATACTCATATATATGAATAGTTATTTAGTTAGTTGGTTAGTTATGTATGCGTATACTCATATATATGAATAGTTATTTAGTTAGTTAGTTATTTATGCGTATACTCATATATATGAATAGTTATTTAGTTAGTTAGTTTTTGTAAGCGTATACTCATATATATGAATAGTTATTTAGTTAGTTAGTTATGTATGCGTATACTCATATATATGAATAGTTATTTAGTTAGTTAGTTATTTATGCGTATACTCATATATATGAATAGTTATTTAGTTAGTTAGTTTTGTAAGCGTATACTCATATACATGAATAGTTATTTAGTTAGTTATGTATGCGTATACTCATATATATGAATAGTTATTTAGTTGGTTAGTTAGTTATGTATGCGTATACTCATATATGAATAGTTATTTAGTTAGTTATGTATGCGTATACTCATATATATGAATAGTTATTTAGTTGGTTAGTTAGTTATGTATGCGTATACTCACAAATATGAAGTTATTTAGTTAGTTATTTATGCGTATACTCATATATATGAATAGTTAGTTAGTTAGTTAGTTGTGTGTATACTCATATATATGAATAGTTATTTAATTAGTTAGTTGTGTGTATACTCGTATATATGATTAGTTAGTTAGTTAGTTGTGTGTGTACTCATATATATGAATAGTTATTTAGTTAGTTAGTTGTGTGTATACTCATATATATGAATAGTTATTTAGTTGGTTAGTTAGTTATGTATGCGTATACTCATATATATGAATAGTTATTTAGTTAGTTATGTATGCGTATACTCATATATATAAATAGTTATTTAGTTAGTTATGTATGCGTATACTCATATATATGAATAGTTATTTAGTTATTTAGTTAGTTATGTATGCGTATACTCATATATATGAATAGTTATTTAGTTAGTTATGTATGCGTATACTCATATATATGAATAGTTATTTAGTTAGTTATGTATGCGTATACTCATATATATGATAGTTATTTAGTTAGTTAGTTTATGTATGCGTATACTCATATATGAATAGTTTTTTTAGTTAATTAGTTATGTATGCGTATACTCATATATATGAATAGTTTATTTAGTTAGTTAGTTATGTATGCGTATACTCATATATATGAATAGTTATTTAGTTAGTTAGTTAGTTATGTATGCGTATACTCATATATATGAATAGTTTATTTAGTTAGTTATGTATGCGTATACTCATATATATGAATAGTTATTTAGTTAGTTAGTTATGTATGCGTATACTCATATATATGAATAGTTATTTAGTTAGTTATGTATGCGTATACTCATATATATGAATAGTTATTTAGTTAGTTAGTTATGTATGCGTATACTCATATATATGAATAGTTATTTAGTTAGTTATGTATGCGTATACTCATATATATGAATAGTTATTTAGTTAATTAGTTATGTAAGCGTATACTCATATATATGAATAGTTATTTAGTTAGTTAGTTATGTATGCGTATACTCATATATATGAATAGTTATTTAGTTAGTTAGTTATGTATGCGTATACTCATATATATGAATAGTTATTTGGTTAGTTAGTTATGTATGCGTATACTCATATATATGAATAGTTATTTGGTTAGTTAGTTATGTATGCGTATACTCATATATATGAATAGTTATTTGGTTAGTTAGTTATGTATGCGTATACTCATATATATGAATAGTTATTTAGTTAGTTAGTTAGTTATGTATGCGTATACTCATATATATGAATAGTTATTTAGTTAGTTAGTTATGTATGCGTATACTCATATATATGAATAGTTATTTATTTAGTTAGTTAGTTATGTATGCGTATACTCATATATATGAATAGTTATTTAGTTAGTTAGTTATGTATGCGTATACTCATATATATGAATAGTATTTAGTTTAGTTAGTTATGTATGCGTATACTCATATATATGAATAGTTATTTAGTTAGTTAGTTATGTATGCGTATACTCATATATATGAATAGTTATTTAGTTGGTTAGTTAGTTATGTATGCGTATACTCATATATATGAATAGTTATTTAGTTAGTTAGTTATGTATGCGTATACTCATATATATGAATAGTTATTTAGTTAGTTATGTATGCGTATACTCATATATATGAATAGTTATTTAGTTAGTTAGTTATGTACGCGTATACTCATATATATGAATAGTTATTTAGTTAGTTATGTATGCGTATACTCATATATATGAATAGTTATTTAGTTAGTTAGTTATGTATGCGTATACTCATATATATGAATAGTTATTTAGTTAGTTAGTTATGTATGCGTATACTCATATATGAATAGTTATTTAGTTAGTTAGTTATGTATGCGTATACTCATTTACGTAAATAAACATAAACTGTTGTTTCAGTTTATTTAATCTTCCTTCTCCAGGTACACCGAGCGTGCGCGCTCCCGCCCCGCCGCGCGTCTGTCTGTCTCTCTCGTCTCTCTCTCTCTCTCTCTCTCTCTCACTCCTCGTGAGCGCGCCCGTCCCCGAGCCTGTGAGCGGGAGCGCGCATGCGCAGTGCGGCGCGGCTGCTCTCCCCGCTCCGGGCTGTTGGTTTGAACAGGAAGGCGGACATGTTGGGCGCTCTCAGTGTTATTATTATTACTGTTAATAAAGGAGTGGAAATCGGCTCGGCACGGAGAGCGGCCGGTCTGCAGCAGCACAGCCCGCCACAGGAGCTCGTCGGGCCGGACCAGTGAGCCGAGGAGGACCGGACCGGGCCGGACCGGGTGGATCTGAGAGCAGCTCGGAGACTCGGACTAACAGGGAGGAACTTTTCTCTTTTTAAACGGGACCGACTTTTACAAAGTCAGCCAAACCATCCGCGGACCGAGCTTCTCCGACCTTCTCCGCTCCCCGTCACCCCGCGGCGCTCGGTCTCGGCGGCTCAGTCCGCGTTTCCCCTCTTTGTAGCGTCCCGGAGGAGAAACGAGGCCAGTCTAACTTTTTTCCATCTGCTTTTTAACCTGTTTTTCTCTGTCGTTTGCGTGTGCAGGCGCTTCCTATGCGTGCCTGTTTTAAGGATTCGTGCTCGTCTGCGATGTGGACGCTCATTTAGCCACAGGAAGGAGCTGCTGTTCTTCTTTTCCCCTCCTTTTTATTATCATTATCATCATTTTTTCACTTTTTTGCCAAGTTGCCATGGACTAACGTTGAAGGACTGAGTAACCAGGACGTTAGCTGACCTAGCCTAGCTAACGTTCACCGAGCTCCCCGAACTTCTTCTTTCGGTCTGAAAATGTGGATTTTCACCGTCTGCCGGTCTTTCATGCCTTCAGACCCGAGCGAGAAGCCCAAAAGACACAAAGCGCTTCTCTGATACGGACACGCGCGTGCTGAAGTGTAGAAAACCCCGCGGTTGGACGGTATTTGTCAGAGCTAGCCGGCTAGCTAACGCGGGGCTAGCCGACCGTTAGCTGCTGTGGAAGCCCGGACGGCGAGCTCGCCGTGTTTGGTTGAAGCCCGGCGCTCAGAAACCGGACTGAAGAGATAAAACATGTCTTCTGCGGAGAGTTTGGCGGCTCGGTTTGAGAAAATCGACGCCATGCTGAAGGACCCGAAGTCGGAGATAAACACCGACTGCCTCCTGGTGAGTTAGCGTTAGCGTTAGCATTAGCCCCTAAGCTACTTTATGGCTAACTTCTCCTAATCTTCTTACGGGCACGCTTCTTCCTGGCGCTCTTAGAGGGCTTTCGGGACCCAGACTGCCGGTTCTGATACCATGAAACATGTGAAATTGTGCCCTAAGTTGAGTTTTGGGGCAGTTCGCCAGCGCCTCGGTCGAATTTTCCCGTTCCACCTTAAATGGTGCGGCAGTTACGTTCTGGCGCCCGAGGCGTTATAATAACTGCTGCGCCGTTTAAGGTGGAACGGAAAAATCCGGTCGAGGAGCTGGCGGGTAGGAAGAACTGACTTCTTTTCAACGGCCATGTTTTCTTGGGACTTTGGTCTTCACAGTTCTGCCCCTGTGGACCCACCACAGCCCTGGTCTCCACGTTTTAGAGGCTTGTCTTCTCAGATGTAGACGTTTCTGACCTCATGAAGGGCCTGTGAGTTGAGTCAGGTGTGTTTGAGCAGGTAAAACACTAAAATGTGCTGTTGGGAGTGAACTTTACTCCAGGAGCAGTGCTGGGGAACATCAGAGGAGCACAGTTCCATATTTTGCTGCATATTTTGGTGTTTTTCAGCTTTGACAGCTTCATTTTGCCCTCATGAAGGAACTTTTGAGTTGAGTCAGGTGTGTTTGAGAAGGTAAAGCCTTAAAATGTGATGTTCAGAAGGAACTTTACTCCAGGAGCAGTGGTGGGCTGCACCGGTGGAGCGCAATTCCATGTTTTTGTTGCATATTTTTGGGTTTTTCAGCTCTGACAGCTTCATTTTCTTCTCATGAAGGAACTTTTGAGTTGAGTCAGGTGTGTTTGAGAAGGTAAAAACACTAAAATGTGCTGTTGGGAGTGAACTTTACTCCAGGAGCAGGGCTGGGGAACATCAGAGGAGCACAATTCCATATTATATCTTGCATATTTTGGTGTTTTGCTTTTCTGATAGTTTCATTTTGTCCTTATGAATGAATTGCAAGGTGAATAAAATGTACTAGAGCACGTAAAAACTGTTCAGAGGGAACTCAGGATCAGGGCTGGGCAGCATCATGAGAGCACATTCCTCTCGAATATTCAAGGTGTTTTCGGCTTTGACCACTTGTTTTGTCCCCATGAAGGACCTGTGAGTTGAGTCAGGTGTGTTTGAGAAGGTAAAACACTAGAATGTGCTGTTGGGAGAGAGCTTTACTCCAGGAGCAGGACTGGGGAACATCAGAGGAGCACAGTTCCATACTTCTCTTGTGTATTACCAGTGTTTTCCTGCTCTGACAGCTTTGTTTCGTTCCCGTGAAGGACCTGTGAGTTGAGTCAGGTGTATTTGAGAAGGTAAAACACTAAAATGCGATGTTCAGAGGGGAACATTACTCCAGGAGAAGGGCTGGGGAACATCAGAGGAGCATAATTTCATGTTTCTTTTCAGTTTTTTTTAATGTTTTAAATTGAAGGAATTGTGAGGTGAATCTCGTGTTTAAAGGAGGTAAAACATTAAAATTTGCTGTTCGGAGGGCTGGGAAACTGTAAGCTGCATCTGAGGAGCTCAGTTGAATATTTTTGGTGTTTTTCTGCTCTGACAGCTCTGTTTTGACCTCGTGAAGGACCTGTGGGTTGACTCAGGTGTATTTGAGAAGGTAAAACATTAAAATGTGCTGTTCGGAGGGCTGGGAAACCCTGTTCGGAGGGCTGGGAGACTCAGGTGTATTTGAGAAGGTAAAACATAAAAATGTGATGTTTGGGTGGGACTTCACTTCGAGAGACAGAGTGGGCTGCATCAGGAGAGCATAAGTACATATTTCTGTTGCTTATGTTTCCGTTTTCAGCTTAGTTTTGACCGTATGAAGTAATTCTTAGTAAAACTGTGTATTAAAGAAGGTAAAACCCTGAAATGTGCTGTTTAGAGGAGCAGGGCTGTGGAGTTGGCTGCATCAGTGGATCACAACTCCTGCATGTTCGTATTGTTTTCCTACACCAGTGTTAGCCTCCTGAAGGGCTTGTGAGAGATCGAGACGCTGTAGAAGGTAAAACACTAAAACATGCTGTTCGGATGAAAACAGGATGAAAACAGTGGGCTCCATCAGGGAAGCGAAATTTTAAATTTTTATTGCATATTTTTCCTTAAATTTATCCCCCTGATGGATTTACGAGTGGAGTCTGGGGCGTCTGCAGCTCTGACAGCACTAACATGACTTTAGGAGCTGGACTGGGGGAGCGTTTTACTGCCTCGGGGTGCAGCTGAAGTCCAGGAGACCCGAACGTACGAACACTGCAGTGTGTTCCAGTCCTAATGAACCTCATGAGGGGCTTGTGAGTTGAGTTAAGTGTGCTGGAGCAGTTAAACAGTACAGTACAGTAACTTCAAGTGCAGAATTCATAAACCTTATTGCCTTTGGGAGGGGGCTGGGGTGGTCTGGGGTGGGGTGAGGTGGGGGGAACATTAGTCCTGGTGGTCCAAACCACTGGGCTCTCTGCATTTACTCTCTGGCTCGTTCTCGTCTGATCAGCACTGATTGTTTTAAGCCAGTGGTTCAGTGTCGGCACTGGAGTCCCACAGCATCCTGCCCGTTTTCTTCAGTGTTGTCTTTCCTAGGGAGGAGTCGGACACCTGAACATGTCTGAAAAACATCAGAGAGGTAACTACCTGAGTGTAGGGCTGGACGATTAGTCGCTTTATATCGAAATCGCGATTTAAGACGTGCAATTTTTAAAATTATAGCCAATCTTAAAAAAAGGTGGTTCCTCAAGGTTCTATAAAAGATTGGTTCTTTAGTAAAGACAGTCATTCTATACAGAACCATGAACTGAGCGTTAATTGGTTCTCTGCATGGTGAAATGGTTCTTTAGATTGATGGAGAATGTGTTATAAGGTTCCATATAGCATCAAAATGGGCTCTGCTGTTGTTATGGTGTCCAGCTTGTAACTACAGAAGAACCTTTTTGCAAAGAACCCTTTAAGCCTGCAAGTGGGTCTTAGTGTTCATGGTTCTATACAGAACCCCTGTTTTAATGTGTACGTTGTCAGAAACGTTGTCGTGAGCTTTAAGAGGGGAAATTGAACCTGATAACACAGAGGTTGTGAAATGCCAGTAGGTGAGTTGGACCAATCAGGCCTCCATGTGTTGTGACATCACAACCACGACTAACTGGCAGTAAAAGGTGTATATTTTGGTCTTCTTGGCCAAAAAATTCAGGCCTGAATCTCAGTTAATAACAAAGTATTTCACTCGAGCTGCACAGTCTAGTGTTTTAACTCCACATCTAGCAGAATTTATAACTTGGTGTTTTCCACTGTCCTGACAAAAATGATGATCCACAAACTAATAATAACAGTCCAGTTTTTCGTGTACATTGAAATGCAGTAAATAAACATTCATAAAATGTCAAAATTGGGCCCGATTAGCATTTCAGACAAATACAGCATTTATTTCTGTACAGGTATGAATGAAAAATGAATACAGTGCGGATACTTTTGAGTAGTAACCCAGCGTCTCCTAAAGATCATACGCTTCCACCGTACAATAAGTACGATTTGACTTACCGTCCAAATACACCGATCAGGCATAACATTATGACCACCTCCTTGTTTCTACACTGATTGTCCATTTTATCAGCTCCACTTACTGTATAGGTTTCTCTGCATACTTACCTTTTACCCTGTTCTTCAGTGGTCAGGACCCCCATGGACCCTCACAGAGCAGGTACTATTTGGGTGGTGGGTCATTCTCAGCACTGCAGTACCACTGACGTGGTGGTGGTGTGTTAGTGTGTGCTGTGCTGGTCTGAGTGGATCAGACACAGCAGTGCTGCTGGAGTTTTTAAACACTGTGTCCACTCACTGTCCACTCTATTAGACACTCCTACCTTGTCAGCCCACCTTGTAGATGTGAAGTCAGAGATGGACAGTGAGACAAGGAGTCTCATGGTCATAATGTTATGCCTGATCGGTGTTTAATCATCTATCCAGTACATTTTTAGCCATAATCTGCTGAAAGAGTGTGACTGATATCATCGCACGTCCGCTCAGTGTTAATCGTACCTCCTTACACTCGTCTGCACTGCAGAATATTCCATTTATTCCACAGATAATAATCTGTATTGGGACAGTAACTGTTTGAATGTGTTGCCCTTTTTTGTAATATTTATAACAGGCGTACTTTTCCTTCTTCGGGCCGAGGCAGTTCCTTCTTCATACAGAAATACGGTAATGAACCGGACCGTAGTGACGTTAGGCTGCGTTCTCAGACAGTTTACTGTCACATCATTCACAGTCGATTTCACTGAGTGTGTTTATATGCACTTAATAATCCGATAACTGCAGAAAATCAGATTTTGTCAGTAATCTGATCAATGCGTTCATATGCACTTGAGTAATCAGATAATGGGGAAACTCCATGTCTACATGAGTCAGACAGTAATCAGATTTCTGCTTTACAACCAGAACATTGAGTCACAAAATATGAACATACATCATGTAGAAGATGAATATTTAAGTCCTTCATTTCGTCCAGAATGTATTTGGTTTCAGTGTCGCTCCAAAAGTGTTTTGCTGCGTCTCGCGGCGACGCTGCTCACTTATTTCTGGTACGCCGTCTGTTTTCACACATGCTCAGACAGAAATCTGAAAGAAATCAGAGTAAGAGTTCACAGCACTGAGAAATCTGATTACTGAGCTAAAAACTAGCCTCTTTATCAGATTTCTAGATCGGAGTGTGGTGTTTGCATGACCATTTGAATAATCAGATATCTGCAGAAATCAGATTATGATCAGATTATTGAGTGCATGGAAATGAACTCAGTGAAAATGCTGCATTGACGGCACTAACGCAAGATAGCGCATGAAAACAGCTGTGATGTATGCATGTGTCAGCCAATAGGAGATGGGGTGGGCGTGGCTGAGAGCTGATCAGAGTTAATTATCTTCTCAGCGAAGCTCGTTCTGCTCGTTAGTTTGTGCTGATGATGCACGTGATTCACTCACGTGACGTTACTGAGTAGG